TAAAAATGGCATTTACCATAAATCAATTTGAGCCATAGTGAAACATTTTAAATTTACTAAATTAATAGTTTTTTTTTTTTTAATCATTACTACATTTAACTGATAATTAGGATAATTTTGCTCGCTACGAAGTTTGACGTTTGCTAGCTGTGGCTAAGTTAGCTGAATCTGGATGCAAACATTTTGAATATTCTGATCTTCATCATGGTAACGTTTTCTGTGACAACTAATGCTAAAATTCGTTCTTCATTAGCAGCGACACGCTCAAGGTTAGGAACCTTACCTTGCTAGCCAGTTTGACTTTAGCTTTAGCTCCATTACTAAGCTAGTAAGCAGAATAACCACTTTTTAAACATTCTGATATGTTTAAAAGCATTTTCTCTAACAATCACATCTGACCTGTGACCTTAGTTAGCAACAGCTGCTTCAGGGTTAAGACCCTCCCATTGCTAACAAGTTGGACTCTAGCTTTAGCGCTGTGGCTAAGCTAGCTAAATCTGGATACAAACTTCACATTCTGAGAGGGTCATGTTAACGTTTCCTCTGAAACTGCTGCTAAGCTGTGTCCTTCATCAGCAACGACAGGCTCATAAGAAGCTTGACGTTAGCGTTAGCTGCTTCGCTAAGCTAGAAAAAGCTGGATAATTTTGTTCACTTATCATGAGACCTAATTGTTGAAACTTAACTGGGTAAAAGGATATTTTACAAATTTTATCTCAAAATGTAATTATATCTGTATCTTTCTTTTTGTAAACAATTTTTAAACATTTAATTGTATTTAAGTTTTTGCTTTTAATCTCATGGGCTACAAGTATATTTAATACTTTTTTTTCTTCCATATTTATCTGATGAAACACTTTATAGCTACTGCTTAAAAATAATTCTCATGTTTTTGTCTCTTACGTTTCGTGTTACTTTACTCAGTCTGACTTGAACAGCTAAATATAAACATGAAGCTAATTGCCAGGGTTTTTTTACCAGAGGAACCACAGCCTTTGTTTTTTTCAGACACGACTTGCTCTGTATCTCTGACTGTATGTGAAAACCCGTCCTGTGGGGTCGCAGCAGCAAGGCGTCTTCTCGTTTCTGTTTTTTCTTCTCGTGTTCTGTGTAGGATGCTTATCGTTTCAATCTCCTCTTGTTTCCTTTTTTGGCCTTTCCTGTCAACACTGGCAGAGCCGTTTGATGTCACAGACGACACTCATTAGAGTCAGAGATAAAAGACGATAAGAAAGGATGCATGTAGTGCTGAACAGAAACAGCTCTGATAAAGCTGGGTTATTTAAAGGTAAACTATAACTAAGATCAAACCACAAAAGCCTAAACAAGAAAAGGAAAAAAAGAGAGAGAGTGAAAGAGACATTAAAAAGCAGAAATGTTTGCGGTGCAGGGCCTTTATAAGACACCTTGAACAGAGAGTGCGTTCACAGCAGAATTTCTGTTTCACATCAGATGTGCGTCGTCGCCTCAGGTAAACCTGCGCAGCCACGTGATGAACGTCTGCAACTATCAGTGCAGATTTTCACTAAAGATCAGAGACACAGTTCTGGAAAAAAAAGCTGTCTATATTTAATCAAGGCGAATAAACAAGGAGTTTAAACAACTCATTTATAATTTAGATTAGCATACATTAAAAACGCTCATTTTAATCTTTTTATTAATATGCATCAACGATATTGTATAAATATGCAGTTTTATGCAAATACCGTGCCCGTTTTCTGTTTGTATTTAATTCTGTTTCCCAGCTGTGGATCATCATTCTCATTCAAGGCAACAGACTCAGATTAAGTCGAATATTAAGTCACAGCATGGGAGTGTATAAATATTTCTCAATTAAAAACTCTGAAGACCAGCTACTGTATCGGCATTAAAAATGCATCGGCGTTGGGAGGAAAACAGGGGAAGGCAAGTTACGAGTTTGATAAGACATCAGAACTTCAAGTCTACATCTTTGAACTGTGTTTTCTTTTCCATCTTTCCCTCCTCCAATCAAGCACTTGCAACGTCTAGCACTTTTTAGCTGTTTTGGAGGCTGTTACAAAATCTGGGGGATGTAAGGACCAGCCAAAACATGCTGTGCCTCTGTTATTCATGCCTTCTGATGTTTTTTCACAGAATGTCCTACATTTGCTGCTTCTTGCGTGAGCTGCCACTTCACTGTTGATGCAAATGAGGAGTTTTGTTCCAAAATGTGAGTGGTGTGACAGGCGACTGCTGGAAAGTCACTGAAAAAGGGTCTGAACTGTAAAAAACAGCCTCTGTGACCTGATGGAAATACACTGAAACATTCGATATCATTCTGAACGAGAGATAATTTCATTTTTACAACCAAGCTGAAGACAGGGGAGTGGTGTCACCACATCTGCATTGAATGAAAGGTTCAAAGAAGTTTTCTCGGTTTTAAAACTTCATTTTTTGTTGCAAAACCACAAAATCTTGGTTTAATTTCTAGTGCAAATATCTTAGGACTTTTGAAATGAGACAAAACTAACTGACGACTACCCTTTCAATAGGAGCTTGTGAAAAAGAACTAGCTATAAGTGAAATAACATTTTAACTGTCAGATTATTTTCTTTTTAATTATATTAACTTAAAGCAAGCCCTTATGTCTTAATGAAACGTTACTTGTAAGTTACTTTTGTCTAAAATATTTCCTCTGGAATAACTAGGTAAGATTTTGTTTGTGCAGCGTAACATGAAAGTTTTTATTAAGTTCAAACTGTTGTCTCATAATTACGACACATATTAACACACATATTAACAGATTAATGGTAAAATCATTAAAGGAGGACAAAAGTCCACTTTAACTGGCCACAAACCAATGCATAGTTTAATGTAGAAGGAAGAGGACGTCAGAATTCATCATTTTTCAAATAAAATAAGTTTGGTGTGCAGATTTGCTATTCGTTTTGCTGCAGACCATAATAAACAATAAAAACTAGAAACGATATACTCTCAGGCATTCAGAACACCAGAAGCTTTTAACCAAATGCAGCTGAACTTGGGCAGCTCTGCAGCCTTCAGCTCTGCTAAGTTTGACTTCAGGCTTTTAGTTTTTGTTGCATCTCTGACCCAAGACTCAGAACATTTAAAGGGGCAGCAGCATGTATTTACAACTGTTATTGCCAATTGTTATGAAAATGTTACATATATCAACTATGACCTCACAGAAATTGTACTTTCTGATTTAATGCATCTGTCTCTTTAAACCCTTGTGCTCTTTCTGAAGCTCCGCCTTCAGCAAGTCATCACAACATGGCTCCTCTATTTACCGTTTAACAACATTTTTCAGAAGAAGCTCCGATAACGAGTACAGCAGTTTCACCAGGTGTTTGCGAACTGATGCTGGCTAGTCTGAAGGAGCGGAGTGTGGGAGGAGCTACACCTCAGAGGGAGGAGCTAGGTCCTATGGAGCTATGGAGATTAAAGGAGTTCTCAAACATGAAGGAATCAAAGAAGCAGTCCAGGTGTGTTTTTGATGAGGGAGCATGATTTTACATATATATATGTGTGTGTGTGTGTGTGTGTGTGTGTGTGGTGTGTGTGTGTGTGTGTGTGTGTGTGTATTAGCTGAAGATAATATATATACACACACATGTTTTACATGGTACCGTCCCTTTAAATTGAAAGTTTGCAACCAAATCTGCATTAAGTTTAAATGTTTTCAGTCGATTCTCAGAGAAGTTTGTATAAAAAAATATCCCAAGTTTTGATCAATTATCCAAAATTGAAAAACACAGTTACAATCCTGACTATTTTAAAACAAGAACAGAAATAAAAAGTTAAAATTTACTTCAAAAGGGGGAACTAAAATGTTTTGTTATTCTTAATTAAATGTTATTTATCATTTCTGTCAATTTCATATCTAAGAACGACTTTAGCATAAATTACAATTTAACATGGTGGTTTGTGGTTATAAAGTGATAAAAGTGAAAGATTTTATGGAGCACGATACATTTAGTAAAACTTATTTTTCTGTATTTATTTTTTGTTCATGTTTTCTGTATAAATAAAGTTTATTTGCCCAGTTTGCTAGCAGTCATGTGAAAAGTTCATGGAAACTTTGTGTTGATGAATTTAAACATATATTTACTTATATTCTGTTTGTGTTATATTTAATATGTCTGTTATTTAGAAAGGTGATATAATAAAAAATGGGTTCAAGCAATTAGTTTTTACACAATTTCTTTCTATTTTTAGTTCACAATCCTTTAACTCAAAACAAATCAATAATGTGGATTTTAACACTAAAACATTCAGCGTCATGTTTTATTTATGAGTTAAAAAAAACTTGACATTTTCCTCTTTAAGTGCAAAGAAATCTCTTTTTTTACATTATCAACCCTCAACAAAAAATTATATTAAATGAGATATTTTAGAACAAAAATTTAACAAATGAAATTTGTTGAATTTGAATATTACTATTTTAATCTTTAAATTAAAATTAGTCAAAATTGACCAGGTTTAGTTAAAAAAAATCTATAAAAATCATACATATACATAATTTATAAATTACATATATTTTTGTTTATATTTACATATCTATATGTATTATTCATTTAAATATATTTATATTATATTTTATCATAATTATTTATACTGTTTATACATTATATAAATATTATAATATAATATTATATTTAAATAAACAGTGTGTATATAATGTGCGTTATCTTTTGTGTCTATATTGATATTTTATATTTTAATCTCTAGTTTCGCTGTCATGGTGTTTTTTCTACATTGTTTTTTCACTTGTTGGTCTAATATGTTCATCTATTTCCTTATTTTGGAGGAAACATCCTGAATATTACATATTTATTGCGACGTATTGCAGAAACCCTTTTTCTGAGCGGGCCGTGAATATGGCGCATCCGGCCCTGTGCGTCATGAATAATGCGCGGCGCAGAGGGAGGCGCTGTCTCTTTAAGAGGCTCAGCCCCTGCAGAAACAATCGTACAACCCCCCAACAAGTCATCGGACCTGTCAATCAAACGGTCGGCGCCTTTGAAGCCGGGACTCCTCGCCTTGTCTTGGGCTCAAATGAGCTGTTTGCTGCTGTAGTGAAACGTTGGTCTTCCACCAAGCAGCCGGCCGGGGAACGACGCCACAGCTCAACTTTTCCTCTGCATGTGGTGGGGCGAACATTTCCCTACTTTCTTCTGGAGGCGCTCCGCACTGGAGGACACCATTTAACTGAGAAGTCACTTCTTTATTCAGACTTTTTACATTTTTGAAGCACACTTTACAAGAGGAGGTGGGAGCAGAAAGTCCAAGGTGAGGGAAGTAGTCATGCCTCAGCTCAGCAGCGGCGGAGGAGACGACCTGGGAGCCAATGATGAGATGATAGCATTCAAAGACGAAGGAGCAGGAGGAGAAAATCCAGGAGAACGCCTTCACGGAGCGAGACCTGGCCGACCTCAAGTCCTCCCTGGTGAACGAGTCGGAAATAAATCAAAGTCCGACCTCGGCGGTAGGTGGCCCAGTGTGAGTGTGTGTGTGAGTGCGTGTGTGTGTGTGTGTGTGTGTGTGTGTGAGTGTGAACTTGTTCCATTTTACGCGCTGAATGAGGTATGAGTATTTGTGCCTCGGGGTAAAAAGCGGTGGGATTCCCTCGCTGCCCGGAGTGAAAACTCGCCGTAAAAGTGAGATAAAGTGGATAAAAAGTGTTTTCCGCCTGACCTGAGCCGGTGTTGTTGTTCCAGGCGGTCAGACGGGGACAGCAGGCCGAGCAGAGGGGCTTCCAGGACAAACACCGAGAGCACCTGGACGGAGGTAAGAGGAACCTGCAAACCCTCATCAACGCGCCGCTCCGCCTGCGCAGGACGAGCGAACAAAGTGTTTTTGGTCCCGGGATGCGCTGCAGCTTTAACTCCAACTTCAAAGCTTCTCTGATCATCACCTGTTAGCAGGACTGCGCTCATCTTTTCACCCAGAGCTCAGAAATCCGCCTCACACCTCAAGACGAGCAGCTTTAAGCCCAGAATTAACCGATTAAAACACCAGAACCAAACCGGGCAGTTCATGGAAAGTCCTGCTGCTTTATGAAGAGAAAATATGTAGAAATGGATAATTCACCCAGTTTTGTCTCATGCAGAACAGTTTTGAGCTCCAATAGCACCAAAACATCAGACAGAGAAATTTAGGATTTTACTCCAAGTACAATAAAAATGATTTTTGTTTTCCTCAACCATTAAATGCATCAAAACAAAGAGTTTCTACAAGAAATGCCAACCCTGAACCAGATTTAGCCAGTATTCAGATCAAATCCTGTAAATATGAGACTTAAAAGTAATCAACTCTTGTTTTTGTGCCTAAAAATCTCCATTTTATTTCATGAAACGTAAGTGGGGATAATCTGTGCTTACAAAACTCTTTTCTCATGTTTTCCATTGATGAAAATAAATAATTGGTGTTAATGAAAACGTGAATCTGCATCAGCAAAATTAGATCTGGTAAAAAGCCAGATCGTCTGGGTTTTAGATAAGAAACTTGTAATAATTTATCTTTCTAAGCTTTCTTTAGTCCATCCTTGTATTTGTAAGCGTTAGTGCATTATAAGTTTTATTCGAGCTTTTATTTTATTTCTTGTGTTAACCCTTTCATCGCCAGCAGACAAACAGTTCAGGATGAAACGGCTGAAGACAAACTCGGTGTTTCACACAGGAGAGATTGTGAGGAAAAGTTGGACATCTTATCAGTGCGGCTCAGGCTGCGCTTCACCCAAATAGTTTGGAAAGATTAACTGTGATTTGGAAAAATAAACGTCTGTTTTAATAAATAACTGGCATTTATCGTGCGGTCCAGGCTCCACTAGTGTCTCTATGAAGAGATATTTGTTGTGTTTCGCCTGGTTTCTGACTTTAACTGACTTCCTACAGAGTGAATTTAATGTTTTGTGTTTTAAAACGTCTTCAGCTCCGTCGCTCCGATCTGTCACTTCTTCAGCAGAGTTGCTCTGTTTCATCTTAAGAAAGCTGTTATTAATTAAATCACCTAATGCTAACCATAGTGTGCGTCTTCCTTTCTAGTATTTGTGAAATTATCCCTGTCACAGTGAGATCTGCTCATGTTTTGGCATTTAGAGGCAATTTTGAAGGAAAATTGCAGCTTTTTCTCAACTTTGGGAAAAGAGTGATTAAGTTTTTTTTGCTTCTGCCACCCAAAAAGAACAGAGTAACTTCCCTCCTGTGTGCAGCACATTTTGAAAGTGTGTAGTTTTACTTGGCATCTTTAATTATAGGTTTCCCTCAGCCGTTTCTCTCATTTCAGTCCTTACCAAAAGCAGAAATGTCGTCACATCGGGGTCGTCTCAGGAAAAGTCTTCATCAAAACCGGATTCTGCGGTTTCAAATGGATCCTTGAAACAAATTGAAACCAATAGAAATCTGTATTAGCAGAAGTGCAATCTGGACAGAAAAGCTTAGCAGTGACAATTGTGGCTAATTGCTTTGTGCTGCAGTTTCAGTCTGAGCAGGTAAATAACCCAGTTATGTGTGACCCAGAGAGAGAGAGGCCCCTCGCTTAATAAGGCGGCTGCTGCTAGAAGTGAACGTAGTTCACGCCTCTGGCTGCAGGTGACGGCTTGCTGCTGTTGTTACATATATATCTAGTCTGCGTTTGTGCAAGGATGCGACATGATGCAACCACTTGGTAATAGTTTACCTGCTCTGCATGCACGTTCATTCTGGATGTGTTTGTTTCCACACGTCAGATTCAGCTTTTGAAAAAGCTAAAAGTTGCTTTTGAAACTGTAAACATAATTTTTGTGTTGTTCTCTATTTTACCCTCAGTGTCGAAGCAGCAAGATGGAGGCATGTACAAGTCGCCGGCGTATCCCGGGTATCCGTTCCTGATGCTGCCGGACCCTTACCTCCCCAACAGCTCCGTCTCTCCATCTGTAAGTCGGCTCTTCCTGTTCTTAACCCTTCCTGCTGCCTGCTGGGCTCTGATTTTTCTCCTCCTTGTGAGTTTTGTCGACCTGAGGCCAGGCTTACCGCTGTGACTTCCCGTATTTATACCCGGCCTTTCAATCCAGGGCAAGTTTTTCAAATCAGATCCTCATGATTTGCTCTGAATGCTAAAGAAACGATACGGCCGTCTTCTTGTTTTTGTATTTTCTGTTTCTTTTTGCTCATAAAAGTTAAAATCTGTTTGACTTTATAACTTTTAATGTATGTTATGAAAAACAAACTGTAGTTATTACAGAAAACTCTCCTGTGACTGTTGCCAATCAATATTTATAGAACATTTTGAACTTTAATCTGAATTTTGAAAAATTCTTAGTGAGTTTTGACTACATACACTGCAAAAACACAAAATCTTACAGAGTAATTTTAGTTGAGTTTCTGGAGCAAAAATCTTATTACACTTGAAATGAAAGAAAAGTAACTTATAATGAACTTTTCAGAAATAAATAAATAAGTAATTCCAGATTATTTCATTAATAACAAGGGAAAAATGCTTTGTTATAAGAACTTTTTTTATCAACATTAGTGAATTATTTACTTCTATATCTTGCTGAAAAGTTTCTGGTAAACTAATTTTGTCGTATTTCAAGTGTACTAAGATACTACTAAACAAAAACTACGGTAAGATTTAGTGTTTTTTGCAGTGTAATGGACAAAATAAAATCCATTGGGGTTCATTTGGGTTCAGAGGAGGCGGCTGTCGCCTCACAGTGACATAACGCCGCCAAAATAAAGGTTTTTATTGTTATTTTGGTGAACTGTGCTGGCAGTCGTTGGAATGTGAGGCTTTTCCATCTACACACACACACACACACACACGCACGCACACACACACACACACACACACACCCACACACACACACACACACACACCCACACACACACACACGCACACCCACACACACACACACACACACACGCACACACACACACACACACACACGCACACACGCACGAACACAACACACGCACACCCACACACACACACACGCACACACGCACGCACGCACGAACACACGCACACCCACACACACACACACACACACGCACACACGCACGCAGTGATAAGACCCGGCCCTAATAACAGCTGAGATGTTTTTTGCGTCATTTTTCATTAATGATTAGAATAAATTCCAGTTAATGATGTTTAAACTGTTGTTAGTTTTACTGTCAGTAAATCTGCAAACATGATTAAATGTCTCTGTGCAGTTTAGTGGTAAAAATCTAATTTCTTTAGAAAAAATTGTCTTTTTTCAGAGCAGGACCTGAAAACAGTGATAAATATTTATTTTTGTTATTTATTGTTGTCACATTGTCACAAAACCTGTGAAGAAAAGAGATTTTCCATTTTTTTACTGTCTGTAACTTTTGTGTAAATAGCATTTTTGATTTCTGTTTTCTTTATTATTATTATATAAAATCATCTGGGAAGCTTTCTGATGAAACAATGTGATTTATTTATTTTTCCTTTTAGTGGAAATAAAAGAAAAAATGAATCTAAATGATTCTAGATTTTTATCTCTGATCACTGAACTGAATCACTGCAAAAACAAAATGTTACCAAGTCATTTTTTAATTTCTAGAATTATCTTATTACACTTCAGATAAGATAAAACTAACTTTTAAGTAACTTTTCAGTAAGCATAAGAGCTTCTTTTAAGTAAATTATTCCTTAATGTCGAGAAAAAAGGAGATTATTTAATTTTCCCATGTTGTAAGTGAAATAATCAGATTTTCCATCAATATTTACGTAAAACAAGCCAATATATCTTGTTGGAAAGTTAGTTTTGTCTTATTTTAAGTGCAGTAAGATATTTGCTCTAGAATCTAAACAGAATTTATTTTTTAACGCTGTGATGCATTACGGTGCAGCAAACTCCTCGCTCCTTTAAGCTGCACATCCGGCAACATCATCAACTTTAGAAATCGCTTCAGAAAGTGTCATGGCGGCTGAGGAAAGTGTCATGGCGGCTGAGGAAAGTGTCATGGCGGCTGAGGAAAGTGTCATGGCGGCTGAGGAAAGTGTCATGGCGGCTGAGGAAAGTGTCATGGCGGCTGAGGAAAGTGTCATGGCGGCTGAGGAAAGTGTCATGGCGGCTGAGGAAAGTGTCATGGCGGCTGAGGAAAGTGTCATGGCGGCTGAGGAAAGTGTCATGGCGGCTGAGGAAAGTCATGGCGGCTGATGGTTTGATGGGACGGATGATGATCTTCAGGTCTGAGGGACCGACGGGGAAATCACAGGTTGTTTCTGTTTCAGCGAGAGAAGGTGACACGTTTCTGACGAGTTTTCTGTCAGAGTGAGTGTGTTTGCTGGGTGGAAGAACCAGATCAGAACCAGATCAGAACCAGAACCAGAGCAGAACCAGATCAGAACCAGAACCAGATCAGAATCAGAATCAGATCAGAACCAGAACCAGAACCAGTCTTTTTGTTCTTCTCTTTCTAGTTCGTCTTTTATTTGCTCAACTTGTGTAAAATTGTTTGCATTTGTTCAGGAAGCAGGAAATTATTTCAGAAGTTTCTCTGTATTCACCGGATTTGGCAGCAGAATCGTTTTCAAAAACACAAAAACCGACTCATTTTGATCAGTGTCAGGATGTGATTGTTAGAGATTGATTGATTGATTATCAGGATGCACCGGTTACAGTTTTCTGGCCCAATATCAATCTTTAAAATCCCGATTCTGATTGTTTTACGTTTTTGTCTAAAATGTTTGCTAAATCGGTCAGGAAAGTCACTGAGTTTAAACACTGGAAGCAGAAATGTTTGCAAAATCAAAAAATCATAAAAAGTCTAAATTTCTGTAATGGATCTTTGTTTGTTTCTGTTTGGCGTGGAAGAGTTTGGTTGAAACAAAACTCTTTTGTTGATGATTAAGACTTTATTGGCTGCAGCTCTTTTTGTTTGACCTTACTGTCTCCGTTCTTCCAGCCATCAGTCACCAGCAGCATATCGATGGAGGAAAACCTGTTTCTGAAAACCCGAGAGTGTTCCTGTAAAGCTGTAAAACTGCTGAGCTCATTGCGAGAGCCTCAGCAGAACGACAGAAAGTTCAGCATTAAGTTTATTAGTTGTCTCTGTGATTCCCCTCAGCGCAGCATGTGGGTTTGTTTTCACTGTAAAAACTCCACTCAGTTGTTTAAATCTGGGTTTTTTTATGGGGGGCTTTTTGGAGAAAATGAATACAAAATAATTCAATTGGTCCAGTTGTTAATCTAAAAGTGAACTAATTTTCTGTTAAAGACGGAAAAGCACTTTCCTGTTGCAAAAGGCAGAATTGGGTAGTAAATAGATACATTTATTTAATTACATTTGCTTAAGTAAGTTTTTTAGGAGTATTTTATTTTTGAGTAATGTTATTATGAAGTATTTCTGCTCTTACTTGAGTGAAATTTCTGGATTTTTTGCCCACTGAATAAAAACAACATGTTTTCATCAGAAACACAGCTGCAGTTTTTGCAAAAGTTTCAGAAGTTTATTGAAATAATCTAATTGTAGAAGATTTATTTTGTTATCTTGGTCCTTAAAAAATAAAATTTCCACTTACCGTTATCTTTGGCTCTGTCTGAAATGATTGATAATCTGATCAATCATTTGACCAAATACTTTTACTGGGCGGCTCCTGGTTGTTTTTGAGTGAAAACATGTGGAAGTATTTCTGCTCTTACTTTTACTCTGGACGTTTTGCAGTTGTCACATTTATGGAGATATGGGAGGAAATGCCCAGAGAAGATTTGTGGGATTAGCAGATTAGCTTGTTGCCTTTGTGTGGAGCTTTTATCTGGATTGTGTTTTGTGTTTTCATGGCTGCTGCTGAACTTCATTTCACTGAGTTGCATCTCAGCGTTTGGCATGTTTGTTGTGTTCATCTGCAAGCCTCAGGCTGGCGTTTGAATCCAGAGTTCATGGTGTTTTCTGAGCTGATGTTTGCTCTCTCCCTGTGTGTGTGTGTGTGTGTGTGTGTGTGTGTGTGTGTGTGTGTGTGTGTGTGTGTGTGTGTGTGTGTGTGTGTGTGTGTGTGTGTGTGTGTGTGTGTGTGTGTGTGTGTGTTTTGATGTGTTGTGCATAACTTGTGGATTAAAAGCAGACAGTTTTCTTTTTGCAGGGAGTCAAACCAAAGCAGAGGAAAGGTTTCCTGTAGACATAAAAGTCGTTTTTTCTTCCTTCAGATTCGTGTTTGCTTTGTGCTGTTTTCACCTTTCCTACCTCTGTTCTCGTCTCTGACGTCTTCGCCATCAGTTTGCCGTTCTTTCGTCATCCTTTCGTCCTTTGAGATAACCTTCAGGCATTTGGGAACTAAAAGGAAAATGACAAAAGCTCAGAATGTTTGTTTTTCAAGTTTTTCTGCTTTCTTACTTTCCTGATCTTTAGTGATCAGACATTAAGATGACTGGATAGAAATTGGATCATCATGAGGAGCAAAGAGGAAGATATTTGTGTTTATGCAGATGATTAATTGTTGCACTTCTCCAAATTGATTCTGTTCCTGATTGGTGTCATGTAAAGTTTTAAAGGCGTTGTGCGTTTCTGCTTGTTTGTGGTTCATACAGAGGCAGATATCTTTTCTTTTAGACCAATTTAATGAGTGAAGCTGCATTTTCTGCAACTTTGACTCATGAAAAACTTTAAAAGCAAAACTTTCTATAAAACAGTATGAAAACAACAAATGAGAGTAGATATTAAGAAAGAAAATGAGAAATAAAGCAGATGGATGTTTAAAAAGACAAAGCAATGGAAATGTTTTCTTTGGACATTCAGGAATTGCTTTTTGTTTTTCAGATTCATATTAAATAAATATCTTTGTATACATGCAGATGACTGCATTGTTCTTGTCCAAAATTATATCAGATCAGCAGTTTGCATGGATTGATTGCGTAATAGAAATGGTTAAAGTTGTGGGCTGGTTGCCACCAAACCACTTCAATATTTC